ATTTCACAGATACTCCAACTGGACAAGCATATCATGGGGAACATTACAGATCAAGTTACTCGGCTCACAAGATCAAGACACATTGCCAGAACCCGAAAGGAGCGAGGCGCTGTTAATGGTGAGCCAATTTGTGAAGTGAGATGTCCAGGATGTCGAGAAGTTTCACCCTTTCGCCTTGACCTGAGAGAGACGGGCCAAGTTGGAGATAAGTTGTACAGAATTTTCGGATTAAGTTACTCTGAAAGCCTGGAGAATGGTGTTGGCTTGGTGGTTCAAAAGGGAAGGATTTCAGGCAGGATGCTTTATGGGCCTCCCTCTTGTGACTGCCGATTCATGGAAAGGGTACAAATTGATTGAGTAGAACTTTCAAATGCCTTCGATGTGCCCACGGAGGTTCTTCACTGACTTCAAGGGATTTGGTTTGTACTGGGTGGTGGAAGGACAGTGCAGGAAGCCAGGATGGCAATTGAGACAGCACCCTGTAGTAATTCAGAGAGGTGCCGTCCACAGTACTCATAGACAAATGTAAGAGAGCAGAGAAAGAAAGTCTGCCAGTTGAAACGTCGGAAGTAACTCTGAAGTGCTGAACGTAGCAGGTCTCATAGGATAGGGATGCTTCAAAGAGAGATAGGCTCCCTGAAGAAATTCTCCAAGGAGAGAGATACTCCAAGGAAAAAGCATCTAGGAGAGATGATATCCCAAAAGCGACCAGAATCAGGACAAGGTCCAAAAGGGAATTGAATTAGAGCAACATGAGGCACCATGGTTTTCAACATGATCAAACCCGAGCAAGGCAGAGCAAGGCAGAGCAAGCTTGAGTCAGGCTGAGCAGGAATGAGCCGATGTTGAGCTGAGTAGGATTTTGCTGATATAATAGACTAAAATCGATTAGCCTAGTCGGGTGTATGCCAAGAGTAGAACCCAGTTGAAAATAGCGTAATTGAACCACCGAAAGAAAAAAAGTCGCTACATTGTTCTAAGCTGCACCCCCCTCCTCGATTCCTCTCTCCCTGCAAGATTGCTGAAATCATCCACATATGCTAAGTTGTAAATTGGATGTACTACCTGAAGCCGACGGGCAATAATAAAGTGTTTTCTGTGATTGCGACAAACAAGGTTAGAATTGAGGGACTTGGATTTTGGTGTATCAGAATAAAACATGCATCTCCGACAGTACAACTATTGTATCCGCAGCCGCTGCAGCAGCGGATGGAAGCGAGTGTCTGAATGTCGAAATTGTACCCAATTGAGCCATTGGCCTGACACGCGGTGACTGCAGTTGAGCCGAATAGAGCGAGGATAGTAACGGGAAGTAAGACTCTCATTGTGGGCATGATTCAAGAGGGGAGAATATACTTTGATAAAATTGTGATGGAATTGTCGGAGGCTAGATTGGGAGACTGATGTGCCGTCTGTTAAGATACATATGCATATACTTATATATATCTGCTAAAGGAGAATTGTTGACGGCCGGTCCGTCCGGACGCGCTAGATGCGAAGGTCGGGATTCCCCGGGGCAATCGGATGCGTTGCGTACGTGTCAGACGATAAGCGTGTGTACAACTCGTGTGCTCTCCGACAGTATCTCGGTAGTCATTTAGTGCATGCGGTCCGAATGGGTAGGTAGCTTCAGAGGTACCTAACTACGACTCAACCGAAGCCTTGGTATAACTTGATACGATAGCCCCTCTGGTACCTGTCTAAGTGTTGTAGTGAAGTATCTTCGCGTGTTGTGTATCAGAAGTGGGGACTCGAGGCTAGGATTGCGAATTTATGGTTGGGTGTGAGAAGAGGAGGTGGTCGGTCGTTGGTCGGTTTAGATGCTGTTTGTACGACCCTTTTCGATCATCCCTTGTTTTGCGTTACGAGTATGTACGATACCTTTTCGGAACTGGCTTTTCCGCCTCAGCGTGATGGAATGTACTCTAAGGCTGACTTTACGCATATAAGAGTTGATTAGTTGGATCCATAGAGCGAACGTTGGATAACAGTAGCAGTCGTAGAGGATTGTTGATGTAAGGCGACAAAAGCGGCCTCTTCTAGAAGGCGCCATGAGAGACCTTGTACATGTCTAGGAGGACAGCGTCGCATTGAATCTGTACGGTCTGCGTTCTGGGTGGCGGTCGTCGGAAGTGGAAAGTGAGATGAGAGAGTGTTTTCGAAGCGCACCTTCACCTCGAATATTCAACCACTAGTGAGCGTTTCCGTGAGTATATAAACAACACAGCTTCTGCCACTCACCCGATTCTTCTTCTCTCTCCACACATCCTCTGAGCTTGCTGAACGAACAATCCGAGCAAGTCAACATGGCTGGTAGAAAGCGCGCTGCTTCACCCTCGGGTGGGGCGTCCGCTGCGAAGAAGACCAAGAAGAAGAAGAAGCTGCTGTAAGACTCTATCATCCAGTCGTCGTTCTTGTTACTGACAAAATCTTCTAGCGTCACATTGCATGTCGTCTATCGCTCCGGTGTCTTTCCCTTCTTACGCCTTCCCGCCGAGGTCAGGAACATGATTTACCACTATGTCTTTTACGGAACATATCATACACACATCAATTGTCCGCTAAGCGAAGCTGAGAAGCTTCAACGGGATCATACGTCGAAGTCATCGATGAACAGCCCGAACCTCAGCTTGGTCTACGTGTCTCGCCAGCTCCATTATGAGACTTCCCTACTTCCGTACATGCTTACGACGTTCTACTTTCATGGCCATGGGTATTTCCAGCCCACTTTCCGGGACCTCAAAACGTTCCTGCAGAGGAGGTCAAAGATACAGATCAAGGCACTTTCCAAATTGGTGGCTCATCGCTACGGTTATACTATGAAGTTGACGGAAAAATCGGGCAACGGACGGTACTGGATGAATTATCTGGGCTACAGTCGCCCTTCTGAATGGTATCTAATCAAGAAGCAGAGATTGAAGTGGTAGTATCTGTGTCCCTGAGGAACTAGTACGCAGCAATCGGTGCCTGCGAAAACAGCCGACTGCCTGTATTCGATAGCTGACATGACTCGAAGAAACTCCATAACATCCAAGAATCTTCTCGCGATACGTAAAATTCTCTCATGCTCATGCTGATAGTCATTTCTGCTTCGTGTCCCGCGCTTAGCATCGTCTCATGTACACCGTGAAATCCAAAACCAAAGGGGAGAGAAAGTCGCAGTCACCCCGCCTAGGCAGCTGCAAAGAGTGATTCATGCGTATATTAGCTCTACTCCTTCTCTCAGTTCTCTTCTCCTCTGTCTCACATTCAACTAATCCCTGCGTCCGTTTCCCAAACACAGCAAGTAAGCGCAAATCAACATGGCCAAACGAAAGCGCAAAGAATCTGGAACTGGAGACGCGGTCAAGCGTACTCGAGTGTAAGTCTCTCATACTTTTATGCATCTAGTTCTCAACTGACAGTTTGGATCCAGAAAGACTTCAAAAGCTCCTCATTTCCCCTTTCTCCGCTTTCCCGCCGAGTTGAGGAACGTCGTATACGACTACGTCTTTGGCAGCACCCATTACAAGTTCTACAATTCTCGCTGCCGAATGGCAACTCATAACATAAATCTACTCCTCGTCTCCCGCCAGCTCCATACGGAATGCGCTCTGTTGCCGTACAAGCTGTCCACCTTCTCATTCGGTTTCACAGCCCCTATCCGTAGGTTTTTGGAGGCGAGGACAAAGCAGCAGTTGCGGGCTATCGAGGATATGCGTGTCTTCGGGACATTTGGAGGCACTAGTCGAGCGACTGGGTCCTACTGGTTCAAGTATCTTGGTTGCGAAAAGAAGCGTTGTTCTGATCGCTACCTATTCTTTCTCTCGATGTGGAGGGAACGGGAGTATTGAATTTCGTGACTATTCCACGTCTTTCTGCTATCAATCAGTTTTCCTTGGTAGTACCTACACATGTTGCTAATTCTTTTCATTTCCTTTGTCAGGTGAACACTTGACATTAATTGGGCACGATGGTATACATTGGCAGGGTGAGCATTTATTTGAATGTTGACTTTTTTGTAACTCGCAATACGATGAATGATACTTCTTACATCTCGGGGCTCTTTCGCGCAACGATAGCGCCATCGATGCACATTGACACCGTGTGCCAAGAATCACGTGCCGAAGTGTGTGAGGCAGATTTTGCTGATGCTGCACAATGATGTATCGTCGGCTTTTGCCCGGAATTTCTGCCTCAGGAACAGGTACATTGTACAAGCCTCAACTAGTGACTAGTGATCAAAATCAAATTCTAACGTGTGGCTGATGCCGGAATTCCGCGATGCAAGTCAGGGTCGGATCTTCGCCAATCTTCGGCGATAAGAGCCCTATTGATAGCCCTCGACGTGATTGGCCCGGCCAAAAGAAGTCCGAGCGTAAGTTCGTCGAAGCTTCCCAAGGAATGCACAGCTGGAAACACATGTTTTGGCAGACTTGAGTGCATTCTTCATGGTAATGGCAGGTTTCTGGTGTGGATTTGGATGCTGTGGGGCCAGCTACGTAGTTTGGGCAGGCAGTCGACCGCTTCCAGGCAATCTTGGGCTGTTGAGGGACCATGGAAGGGCATGGAATTGTTTGGAATCTTCTCTCGCTCGGCGCAGCCGGTGCATTTGCAACATCCTGGTTACTACTTTTAAGTCTACAAGCGTCGCCCCCAGCTCGCATTCAATATACACACGTTACTGCTTTCGAGTCGTAATCAGTTTCCTTCACCTTCTGTCCCGCTACTGACTTCCACGGCGACTCTTTGGTAAGCGCTTTTTTGCCTCTGTCCGCGTCGCTTCGACGAGTTAGCCGCGCCTTCTTTCACCCGCAAGGCTGACGTGCAGCTGGGCGACTACTTTGCACAACTCTCGCCCCGAGGCTCATTGCTGACTAGTATAAAGATTCTCCTCGACACAGCGACTCGCCCTCTCCACAGACCAACCTGATACCCGTCCCGCCTGCCCCTCAACTCGACTTTTACGACCCCACTAGCCCCTCGTCTGCATCACCACCACACACGCACCAACCGCGACAATGGTCAAAGACACAAAGTTCTATGACACCCTGGGGGTAAGCCAGCCTTGTCTACACGGCATCTCGCACAGGGCATGGTCTAACAGCAACAGGTAGCACCAGACTGCTCCGAGGCCCAACTAAAGACGGCATACAAGAAGGGAGCCCTCAAATGGCATCCCGACAAGAACGCCCACAACCCAGAGGCCGCCGACAAGTTCAAGGACCTCTCCCACGCATACGAAGTTCTGTCGGACCCGCAGAAGCGCCAAATATACGACCAATATGGCGAGGAAGGCCTTGAGCAAGGCGGCATGGGAGGAGGTGGCGGCATGGCAGCCGAGGACTTGTTTGCGCAATTCTTCGGCGGCGGCGGCGGTCCCTTTGGCGGCATGTTCGGCGGCGGCATGGGCGGCGGACGCGAACAAGGCCCCAAGAAAGCCCGCACAATCAGCCACGTACACAAAGTCTCGCTCGAGGATGTCTACCGCGGCAAGGTGTCCAAGCTCGCACTCCAGAAATCCGTCATCTGCCCCAAGTGCCACGGCGTCGGCGGCAAGGACGGCGCCGTTAAGAAGTGCGCTGGCTGCGACGGCCGCGGCATGAAGCACATGATGCGCCAGATGGGCCCCATGATTCAGCGCTTCCAGACCGTCTGCCCCGACTGCCAGGGCGAAGGAGAAATCATCCGCGACAAGGACCGCTGCAAGCAGTGCAACGGCAAGAAGACGATTATCGAGCGAAAAGTCCTGCACGTACACGTCGACCGCGGCGTCAAGTCGGGCCACAAGATCGAGTTCCGCGGCGAGGGCGACCAGCTGCCCGGCGTAGAACCAGGCGATGTCGTCTTCGAGATTGAGCAGAAACCCCACGCCAGGTTCCAACGTAAAGACGACGATCTCTTCTACCACGCTGAAATCGACCTGCTCACCGCGCTGGCTGGTGGCCAAATCCACATTGAGCACCTTGACGAGCGCTGGTTAACCGTCGACATCATCCCCGGTGAATGCATTTCCCCCGGCGAAGTCAAGGTCATCCGCGGCCAGGGTATGCCGTCGTACCGCCACCACGACTTTGGTAACTTGTACATTCAGTTTGACGTCAAGTTCCCGGACCGCCTTGGTAACAACGAGGATGGAGGCCCGATGAGCCCCGAGCAGATTCGCGCTCTCGAAAGCGTCTTACCGCCAAGGAAGGTGCCAGAGGCTATGCCCCCTGCTGATGCTATGACCGAGGACTTTACCCTCGAGGATGTGGATGCGGGTGGTGAGGGCCAGAGGGCGAGGGGAATGGGTGGCATGGATGAGGATGATGATGATATGCACCCGGGAGCTGAGCGCGTGCAGTGTGCGTCTCAGTAAAGAGGTGTGTGCTGGAGTAGCTGGAGTAGCTGGAGTAGAGTGTGCATGATGTTATGAGAGCATGAGGTTATTACAACTGGTGGGCTGGGGAATGTTGGGCGTGGTGGAGTTGTGCATTTCCCGATTGCATTGGAAGCCTTCTGCGATACCAACGAGGACTGTGGTTTTTCCCCTTTTCAGTCAGTTTCTTTTTTTTTTCTTTAACTTTCTAGCAAGGCATCACTATCTTGTTTTTGCTGGTTCATTCGGCGTTCTTCTTAGACAGGGGAGAAAGCCTGAATATCGGCATCTTGGTAAATGAGGGTTTAGTAGTTTCTTGATGAAAATGTTCTTCGTGAAGCTTCTTGAACTCTGCAAATCGTCTTTTTGTCTTTTAACGACATTTTTGTTCGCTCATTTGCTAGTACCACCATGATGCAACGAAGCTCAAGAGTATGTACCAGCGCTACCATAACCTGCCATCGACTACCACGCTGACAGTTGACGCAACTCTCCCTTGGTAAATCAACCCTATTCAGCCGTCGGTACTCTTTCCAGCAAACCAAACCGATGCTCCTCCATTCCACTTGCCGCACAAGCTCGATCTAAATAATGCTCACCCCTGCTATCAACGCCGATCCCGTCCCAGCTGGTCACGTTCTCTCATTTTTTTTTAATTCAGCGTCTAAAGGCTTCTACTTTTGCAAGCATGCTGCCATTCTGTTATAGTCCTGTTATTTAAGCTGTGTTAAGCCACGTTCCCTCATACCCATACAACCTCCCTCTTGCCCTTGCGCTCGCCCGCCTATCCTCAATCTCTCGCTGCCGCCGATTCCGTTCCAGCTCGTCAATCTCCCTCGCAGTCATATCCAACCATTCAACCGCCGAGCACGCATGAACCCCCGCGACATCCAAAGCCGGCTTCCATTGCACTTCCGCCATGACGTCGATCTGCGCAGCTGTTCGCCGCGCCAGGAAGGCAACGAGGTGCGTGGCGTGCGTAGCTCGGATGGTAAAGACGTTTAGTTCGTAGAGCAGCAAGCTGGTCTCGGCGTGTGTTTGGCGACATGTGCGTAGGAGGCCGATGCAGTTGGTGCGTGTGGGGTGGCTGGCTCGCATGGTTGTTGTTGTTCCTTTTGCCATTGTTGGCGAAACGAAGAGGTCGATTTGTGGGTGGTGGAGGACGAGGGTGAAGACTTGGTTGCGGAGTTCGGCTGGTAGGCGGAGAAGTGGTGATTTTTGTGTGGTGTGTGTGGGACTTTATTGTTTTGTTGTTAGGTAGTGAGAGAGATGTGTGTGCTGTGGATTGACTTACGTTGTAGGGCGAGCTTCCTCTGGTTGCAATTTTGATGCCATGTCGGATTCGTCGCTGATGTTGGGATTTGGACGGACCGTTCACAGAAGATGCCAAAGAGTGGAGAGGGCAAGAGATATAGAGATTCTTGGTACTCATAATGGGGCTGTGTGTATGTACGCTGAGGCTTCGAGGCAGTTGGAGGTGGCTGAGCACATTTACCCCATGTCGCTTGGAAACCTGAGGCAGAACACGAACATCTTCCACGACCATGCGCGCTTCCATTTTTGCCGGACCGGCTTCGCAACGACGGACAATCTACATAAATTGCTGCGTCGACACGTCCCACCATTTCTACGCAGATATCTGATCCATTCGGTCGCAGACATGTGACCAGCGACTACGCACTCATTCAGGATCCCAACTCGCCTGCGCGTCAATCCCTTGAATATTGATCAGCTTTCGTATCACAATAAATCTGTCCCTAGAGCGCTTACAATCTTGGGTGTTTGGAATCTTTGGCCCGTAATACCCATCCTGTTATTACTAGACCCGTGGCCGTGATTATATAGCTCCCGATCGGCCAGCCGTAGAACGAAGCAAAGATACAGGTGGCGATGATAATGAGCATTAGTACTAAGATTATGTACCATGGAACCGAAAAGTCTTCGTCGATCCAGATTGCCCAAGCAATGGGTATATTCACACCTGTTGGGTCAGACTTGAGCTTGCTAAGCTTCTTGGGTGTGCGGCGGAAAATTGAAAGTGTGTCAGTGCCATAGTCAATTTCGAGATTGACACTTTCAAGTTCTTGTGGGGTTGGCTGTTCGGAATCAGTTTCTGCTCTTCTGCCTAGGAGGAAACATATTAGTCAATGTACGGATTAAGTCTGCACGGATGCTTACCTGGTTCTGGTGCTAGTTGGTCCTCTAGATCGAGTGTGATGACTGTCATGCGAGTCTCCCATGCAGAATGTGGCCAAAGCTCAGACATACGTATTGGAAGTCTGTATATCTTGTCCTTGAACTTCATGATAAGGCGGATATACAACCCTTCTTGCTCATCGTCTGACATAATCGCCACCTTGTTTGCAGCATCGCACCCGTTGACCCAGAGGTGTAGCATGTGTTTCGCAAAGCCCGAAGCGCCGTCTGACTCAGCTGGATCATGAGTACTTTCCCAATCACTATCGGTTTTTTCTGGCCACTTCCAGCTCACTGGCTGAGGGCTCTGAGCGTAGTACTCGAACTAAGATTCATAAGTAATTTAGCAGCGATGTCATAAGACCCTAGCACTCACTCTTTGTAAGCGGATTGCACTGATGTCGCGAAGTGTTTTCAAGTGCTGGAAGAATGTGCGTTGAGAGTAGTACCATCTCTTGAGGTCCTTGATCAACATTCCATCACGAGGAAGATTAGCATCTGACCTGACAGTCACTTCGCGTAGACCTCTGCCATGCGAAGATGGACAGCACATGTACAAGAATCTGATGACTGGGTCATTCTTTTTACCTTTACGGCCTTGATTCGTGAGTGAAAGCTGGGATTCCCTGCTTTCATCTTCAGGTTTGAAACTCGATGAGGACGCTTTTGATTGTAGAGCGATATCTTCATCGTGATCATTTCGGGAAGGTTGCGATCGTGACGAAAAGCAAAAAATATCTTCGTTAGCTTGGTTCTCATTGGCCAATCTCCTGTTTGGTTCCATGGACCCATCGCCCTTGGATATCGCTATGATGCCCTTGTCATATAGTGCACGTATGTAGTTCTGCTGGCTCGTTGTTTTCGGACATTCAGTCACGGTGCGATGGCCGCAACTCTTCAGTTTCATTAGCGATGACCATCTGAGTCCGAGACTTGATTTGGAGCTCTTACACATAGGAAGATCGTGCGGCAGAATCCATCCTTAAGACGTCCGTTGTTGGACCGGAGATCTGACCAGAAGCAAAATTTGCAGAATATGATGGTTACCAATGACCAGATGAAAGCCATAAGCGACACCATATAGGTTCTCCTTGCGCAAATAACTGTGAATGCAAAAACCGAGACCAGCTCAAGTTTCGTCGGCTTGTAATAAGGACTAATTCCGCCTGGGTAGAGCACGATGAACAGCACGTGAAGAATTGTAAAGTACAAGGCGAGTACGACCACGGATCTCCGGCCATAGGAAGGTGGCTCTCCCAAGAAATCTAGAATTTCATTCATCAGGAAGAAAACCATGGCAGTGAAAACAACTCTAGTGCTATCGAGAGAGCGTCTCAAGATCAAAACTGGAATTGGCCCGGCGTTTAGCTCACGGCTTAGCTCTGAAGCAAGCAAGGGCGACGAGCGCTGTGGAATAGTTCTTAGGAACTTAGCGTTTAGGGTCCGACAAAGTTCGGGATGATTGTAAAAGTCATTCAGATTATCGTTCGAAGTAGGAGCTCCTTGTTACAAGCAACAAAAGGAACTCCACCCTTGATGAAGGAGTCGGGGCTGAACGCCAACCGACGACCACGTCAGAAGGTAACGATCACCGCGGGGCGATGATCACGTGACTGGCCTCACGCCAAGGA